CCTAGCTCTAATTGTAAAACACATCTTAACATCCATCAGCAATCAATAAAACAAATCATCCAACACAAAATAGAAGAAATCTGGACCTATTCTATTTCTTTTTATACAACAGCATCTATTGGGACTGCTCATTGATGTCATCAAGAGCCATTGAGTCTACCTTTTGTAGTCGGTCTCTTTGTTTTTGTTATCGTTTATTTAGCAGGGACAATGCACATTAATGAACACTTAAAACAAGAAAATGTAAATAGTGTAAATATGCCGGATTTTAGCTTGGAGCTAATTTCCATCCGCAGTCCCTCACATAAAACATTTAAGAACATGACAATTATACACATAGCAAAGACAAATACATGATATGCAAAAAGTGCAAAAGAGCAAGAGCAGCACACACAAGTATTTATGACATGGTAATACAATATAGCAGCAACGACATATAAAGTGCAAGAGAAGATAAAAGAGATACATAAAGTGCAAGAGGAGAAACCCCTGTATTAAAGTGCATTTAGCGGGGATTACACGTCTGTTTGTTTCTCAACCATTCTTTGAGTTGACCTTTAAAACTATTGAGAGTGGGACAATCCCGTATCTCAGTTGGGAGGCTATTCCACAAAGAGCTGCCTTTAATGGAAAGGACATTTTGTCCAAAAGTGGTCCGTCTACGGTGGACCTCACAGTCTCCTCTGGTTTCTGACCTAGTGCAGCGTCCAGTGTGTTTTTTGTGGATGCATTCCCCTAAGGGAGGGGGGCCAGTCCATGTAAACATTTATAAAAAAAGCACATACTTTTAAAAGACTTAAAATTGTCAAAACTCAAGAAATTGTGTTTCTCAAGGATGGTACAGTGGTGATATGAATAAGGCTTTATGTCAAACACCTTGATAGCTCTCTTGTACAGCTGTTCTATTGGTTTCAGGTTTGTGGCACAAGCAAACGACCAGTTTGTAAAACAGTATTCAATGTGGGATAGAATCATACAGTGGAGGTATGACTTTGCAGCATTGACAGTTAAGAAGGGTCTGATTTGTTGTTTGTAAAATGTTGCAAGTTACGTTTAACTGTAAGCAAATGTTGTTCAGCCAGTGTTGAACCTTGTCCAATGCATTAGAGAGACAAGATGAGATCATTTCAGTGTTTTTCCCGTGTATAAAGATGACCGCATCATCGGCATACATTTGCACATTCAACTCAGGTCATACATTAGGCAAGTCATTAATGTACAGTGAAAAAAGTAACGGTCCAAGAATGGAACCTTGTGGATCCCCAACAGGGTTTATAAGGTAAGGCGATTGTGCACCGTTGACCAGAACACACTGTTTTCTGTTCGATAAGTAGGACTTTAGTCAATGTATAGAAACTGCAGAAAAATTGAAATAAGTCATTTTTGTAAGTAGCACTTGGTGGTCAACTGTGTCAAATGCCTTCCTGAGATCAAGGAAGACAGCACCTACATATGGGCTCGTAGCCCATTCTAAGGGCTCTTAGAATGTTTATAATTTCTTTGTCTCTTAACATTCCTATAATAATTTGTTTTTTTATTGTTGGTATTGTTTTGTTCTTTATTTTTGTTGTGAGAATCACTTTGCAATTGTATAAGTGCTATATAAATAGTTATACTAATATTAGTGTTGTGTTACCATCATTACTATTATTAAAAATGTTTTCTTTGTTTTCTTTATTTATCGCTGCAGAAAGGATCATGCCAGCCCACATCAAACACCTGATCAAGAACTTGTGAATCTTCGGGCAGAAAAGATGAAAACACCTGTTCAAAGTTCCAGTTCCCTGTACATCGAACCATGCCTGTACTCTGTTCCACATGTCTTCAGTCAGTTCTGGACCCTATGACTCTGTTCCACATGTCTTCAGTCAGTTCTGGACCCTATGACTCTGTTCCACATGTCTTCAGTCAGTTCTGGACCCCATGACTCGGACACTAGTTCTACCAAGGCTTATTAGAGGTAAGAGTGGTAGGAGAGGAGTAGAGTTATCTTTGTATTTAGGCTGCAAGTCTACAAAGGTGATCAAATGCTGATGCTAATAATGATCCGATTAATTTGATATTGATTGTCTGCCAATACCGAATCCTGATCCGATTCTTCTATTTCCCAGATAATACAGCTGTACTGTGTACTATAGCTCTATTTGTTTTTGCCATTGTAATTCACCATAAGCAATTGTTGACTGTAACGTCTATGCCAACCAACTGTAATTTGTAATGTATTTTACCATAATTTAATGGTCAAGTTCTGGCAACCACAGCAGCCCAAATGTTAACGTAAATGTCAAGTTTTCTTTTTACAGTGTACTTATATCTGTACATTTCTTTTCACTTTGCTTCAAGGATTGGCTTCAACAGACAGAAATGCAGGCCAGATTGGGAAAGGCTGGACGCTACACAACAGGAAACATTATGGACATGAACAAGGAAAAACAAAAAACACTTTCTTTGTTGCCTTTTTCTTATCATACATAGTGTTACTGTTTTTGTTACCATTTAAATATTGAATTCTATTTATTACTTTTATTTTAAATCAAATGCACCTGTTTTAGATCATATATTTATTTGTTGATGTATAGGTTGATTTGCAGGTTGGTTGTTATTTGTATAATTATTGTATTGTTACTGTGTTTTTTATTACATTAACTAGCTATTTATTGCTATTTATTAAATAAAAAATACTGTTATGAACACTTTACAATGTCTTTATTTTGGTAGATACCAGAATACATGACACAATCAATCTTTGTAATATATTTATGTTCTCTGGTTTAAATAATCATGCCAGTATTTAAACAATGTATCAATGTGTCACTTGGAATCCTGGTAAGCTTCCAGCATGGTATATTTAATACTATTATTAAACATAAGCTGGTGATAGATGGATGCTGGTGACCAGCCAAGCATACCAGCATACTGTGCTGGTCTATGCTGTTTTTTTTTAGCTGGCCAGGATGGCTGGTTTAGCTGGTGGCCGGTTTAGCTGGTTTAGCTGGTGCACCAGCTAAACCAGCTAAACCAGCCCTGGCCAGCTAAAATCTAATCATTTGTTTTTGACTGGTAATGTCAACAGAATGTTTCAGGGAAAATGTGTTTTTGAGGCCACCCAGTTAGCCAACTATCACCGTCACTGGAAACGTACCTTAAGTGTACGTTTTATTGGCTTGTTTTAACAATTTGATCGCATTATTCTTTCTGATATTTTTGCAGATCTGCTGTGAGCTAGCTAGCTAGCGTAGCTAACCTATTCACTTCAGATATAATGACAAAACACTTCCATTTATTACAAAATAGACTTTCTCTGCCAACATTGACAGTTGGCCAACTTTATAATCCCCAAAGTCATCAAGCGCTCCAGTCCCAGATGTGTGTTTCTCTTTTTAGTGTCCCCGTATCTGTTGTGCTATCAGTTTCTTTTTTATTTGCAGCTTTTTATAATTGGAAATGTCTTCTTAAGACTGCACGTGTTGTCAAGTTAGTGAAGAAGTCCTCGTTTGGATGTATTTTGGTCATTTGTGTTTTTTTACATATATAGTTTTTAAATTGCTGCAGGTTTCTCCTAATGGAAGTGATTTGGGCCGTTTTTAGCGCGTTTGCACGAGTCGGCCACCGTATCTCACTCTTAACAACAGGGTTCTTTGGAATAACTTCCATATAATGTTTACTCATTCAACTTAGAGCTGTTTATTTATCCACATTTTCTACAGCTATCGTGAAGATATTGTTACCATGAAGTTGTTTGGCAATGATATTCAGTGAAAACCTGATACTGTGATAGCCCTGAGGTACAATAAGACACAATCATGCAGGATTAACAATAATTTACATGTTACTGATTAGCTACTCTTTCGTCTGACTCATTAGTCTAATATTATGTGTATATCTACAGCCAAGTCAAATGTTGCGCAGAACTTATCTTTGCTGAAGGAGTAACATAAGGACATGCGGGGGAACCACAAAAAAAACAAGTTACACATCAATGCCTTATTTGGGTGGAAATGGGGGTAGAAGAAACAGAGAGGCTGAGAGTTACTGATTAGCTACTCTTTCGTCTGACTCATTAGTCTAATGTTATGTCAGGGGTTACATTGGGATTTGATATGTGGGGGGGCTCTGTGTGGAGGTTCGGGGGGGGGGGGGGGGGGCTATACTGTGTGAGGCCCTAAGTAACTGCTCCATTATCTGTATCATATCGGAGCAGAGACACACGTTCACTAAGCCGAAAAACTGTATCCGGTCACACAGATCTGCTATTTTAAAATAAAGTCAACACATATCGACCTTAAATATAGTCTATATTAAGAACGAGAAAAGTTTGAACATATATATAGTTTTTTATAAACATATGACAAATGTGCGAGGATGATGAAGTCAGAGAACCCTGGCCCAATTTAACCCCTGGTTATGTGTACAGCCAAGTCAAAGGTTGGGCAGAACTTATCTTTGCTGAAGGAATAACGTAAGGACATGCGGGGGAACCACAAAACAAACAAGTTACACGTCAATGCCTTATTTGGGTGGAAATGGGGGGTATAAGAAACAGAGAGGCAACAAGATAGATGTATTGCCTTTGATTCAGACATTTTACACACAGGCTAACACAACATATTGTTAAGATGGAGAAAGCAATGATTCTGGTTTCTGTGCTGCTGCTGGGATGGACCTGGACCCTCCAGGCTGTCCCTGTTGATATGGATCAGGTGAGTGGCTTAACTTAACATCTGTCCATAGAGGATTTTCAATCATTCTTTCTTTTCTTTTTTAACTGTCCCTTGAGGTTTGGCTTTTTTGTTTTATGTTGATACATAGCATCAGTGAAATAACATTTTTGTGATGCTGCTAACCAAATTGGAGAACGAGTTTGAGGCTATCTTAAAGCAGGTTCCACTGAATGTTATGTTTTTCATTCTATACGAGTTTTGAAATGTCTTGTCTGGCTAAGTCTGTCTGTGGCTGTGATGCAGGTGGATGTTCCTGTGCAGCCTCTTGCTACTGTGGAGGTTCCTGTGGAGCATAATGCTACTGTGGAGGTTCCTGTGGAGCATAATGCTACTGTGGAGGTTCCTGTGGAGCATAATGCTACTGTGGAGGTTCCTGTGGAGCATAATGCTACTGTGGAGGTTCCTGTGGAGCATAATGCTACTGTGGAGGTTCCTGTGGAGCATAATGCTACTGTGGAGGGCCTTAACGCAACTCTGCCTCCGTTCCGTACTGTGGAGAGTTATGCTGCTGAGGTTCATATGGAGATTATTGCTATTATGAAGTTGCCTGTGGAGAATAATGCTACTGTGGAGGTTCCTGTGGAGAATAATGCTACTGTGGAGGTTCCTGTGGAGAATAATGCTACTGTGGAGGTTCCTGTGGAGCATAATGCTACTGTGGAGGTTCCTGTGGAGCATAATGCTACTGTGGAGGTTCCTGTGGAGCATAATGCTACTGTGGAGGTTCATGTGGAGCATAATGCTACTATGGAGGGCCTTAACGCAACTCTGCCTCCGTTCAATGCTGCAGGTAAGAGATCAACTCAATTGTTTATCTGTATACCATTGTATTTGTTGCAGTGAGCAATGAAAATGTGTACTAAATGGAAGAGAGATCATGATACTGATGTTAGAGTCAAGTCCTTACTAATATGTGTCTTCCTCTTTCTGTGCTACTTCCTGCATCTCTCTCTTCTTTTAGAGGACTGTCAGAAAGACCCAGCGATCGGTGGACCCGGACCGACATGTTTGGCACACATTGAAAGATACTTCTACAACTCCTCCTCAATGAACTGCGAGATCTTCATCTATGGAGGGTGTGGAGGAAACCTGAACAAGTTTATAAATGACGCAGAGTGTATGGATAGCTGTCACCCTGAAGGTGAGGAGTGAGATACAAAACATATCTGAATACATTGTACATCATTTTTTAAATTGTTGTTTTCTCTCAAGGTTTTTGAAGAGGTGCCCAGAAATGTTGCACATTATCACATATTTAATTATTATCATAAAATAAAGATGTACTGTGAAGCTTAAAGATGCATAGCAGGGCTGCCATAATGTTTAATATGGTCCCCCAGATATTTGTAGATAACAAAATATGCTTAATATATTTTTTCCTTTTCACAGCAGAGCTCCCAACGGCAATATGTCTGGACTGTTAAAGTCCTTTTTGAGTCGGACCAACTGGAAGCAAGTGAGATGAAGAACGCTTCTGCACTCAGAACATGTAAACTTGTATTAAAACAAATCACAATTAAAAAAATGTGCTTACTAATATGTTTTGTGTATGTTTTTTTGTTTATAACTCAAATTAATATGGCTGAATATCCAGTAAAAACTTAAGGGTGGAGGTAATGAAATCTCCTAAAACTTAAATTGGTAAATCCCCAATGGAAGAATATCTTCTTACAATAATTAAATCTCCTTAATTCAATATACTGTAAGGTGTTGTTTGTTTTATATAATGTTAAATAACATACTTGATCTATGAAAATCAAAAGTACTCATTGTAAACAATTATACACAACCTAATATATATATGCCCATGCTATAGCACTTTTAATATTTTGTATTATTTTACTTTAACTGCAAGATGCTCACTGTGAATAGGAGACATGAACACTGACATTAGAAATCTGTCAATGTAGAACTATTTTAATTGAAAATGTCATCTAAAACTGTCCTATTATAACTTTTCAAACATATTTTCTGTTTGATTGTTATTTTTTGATTGCATTTTCGCAATGAAATCATAATATTGGATGAAAAGGACTCAGATATTGGTTAGGTAAAAAGGAATTGAGTGATCCAATCAAGTTTTACAATCATACCTTAGCTTTACAACCTGAACACTAACATATGAGTGATGACTGTTACTTTAATATTATAACAGGTATTAGTTAAATACAAATGTACTGCTGCAATTCTCAATATACAGATGGTTCTGTTTTCCAACACAAAACCTTTGAGAAATACTTTAGCTTAATTTATTTACAGCTCTGAAAAGGCATAAGAGAGATAAGCAGGAATATACATTTCAACAATTGTATTGAACATTAGTAGAATCAATTCACACAATAAGGTGGCAAACATTTAGGCCACTGGTCTCCGTCCTGCTTTTCAAAAGAAAATTCTCCCCTGAGATCTGAAATCTGGAGTGCAGTTCTTGGAGAAGTCTTTGGCCACTGAAGAGCAAAACCTGGAGATGGTGCTTCCCTTCTTTGGTGGTTTCATCAGGTGGTTTTTGAAAGTGGAGACAATATAGTCTACCACATCTGGTCTTTCTAGACACAATGCAACCAGCACTATCTCTGCACTGCCCCACTTCTTGCACAGATCCTTGTGAACGGCCTTGTCGTGGTGTATAAAAGTGTCAGAGGTGATTTTGAAATCTGTTCCTTCCACTGCAGCCCATATTTTTTTTAACAGGAGCTCAGTGGTGGTCTCTGCGTTTCCAAAATCGCTGTAGATCTTTGCTTTTCTGAAGGTGCGGGAAACCAGATTCTCCACAAGTTTCCCGACAGACTTTTTGTGGTTCTCTGCATGTGCTGCTGCATCCTGCACCGATCCTGCACCTGTCTTCTCAGATACAAAGATTCTGGGTGTTTGTAATACTGACATGGTGTCTTTTATAGCCAGTGTGACCCTGTCAATGTGGATGGCAGCCTGTGTATTCAACCACAGCCACATCTGTACCTGGAAGTGCAACAGTTTTCCATGTATTTCACGGGACATAGTATCACGTGGTGGGTGTACTAAAATCCTCGTTACTCCTGGAACAATGTCAGTAATCATCCCCTCTGTGCAGTAATTGTAGAGAAGATCGATGAGTTCTTTTCTCAAGACTTTGCTGTTGGAAATATCCTGCAATCTGCGAAACACAAGCTCATTTCCCTCTTGTTGTTTAGTACCATCTTCTGTCAGAAGGAGAGAATCAACCTCAGCAAGGAAGGATTGCATTGAATCCTTGCTTCTCACTTGGTATTCGGGGAACAATTGAGCCTTATATTGTGCCGCGATTTGATGTATTGCCAGTTTTGCAAACCACGTGGCAAAGAAAGTCTTTGTCTTGTATGCCACTCCGTTCAAGAACAGTTTCTCTCTGTTTTCGCTTGTCTTTTTGGATGTTGGTCTGGTGCTTGCAGCAGCTTTCTCTTCCAGACTTGTAACATCTTCAACAAGTACATTGGCAATTTCATCTGAAAGTATTTTACTTTTCAGGGAGATTTGATATTGCAGCAGCTCACACGTAGAGTCTGTCACATCATTTAGAAAAGGTTCTGTCATTTGAGTTAACTCTTTCCTTATACATTTCTGGAGAGCTTTAGTTGTTGCAATCAAAACTAGAGCGTCCTCGGATCTTCTTGAGACCTTATTGGGGGTTTCTGGTTTCACAAATGTGGCTGACTGGCAGCAGCCATCAATGTTTTCAGCCTCCTGATCTTTCATTCTCAATTCTCCAACAGTGTCCACTTATATGGAGGTGTCTTAACTCGTTCTAGATATTTGTGTTTAAGGTGTGTCAACTCTGTTCAACTCCTGCAGTAATGTGAACCTGGGCTGAATTCTTTCCCTATCATGTTCGCAGCCTTAGAACCTTAGAATGATCTTATAGAACTAGATCCATAGAATGTTCCTCTACATTCCAATCCCAAATGACATTACTTTTATTTTTAGACACCTTTTTTATAATACATAGAAGATACAGTCATTGACAAGTGGGGTATTTCGAATTTGTTGGAGAATTAAATGTTTAATTCGTCTTGGGCTTGTCTTAACCAATGACCTTTTTTTAGGCCTCCAACCAAAAACCCATTCGAAAACACTCAAGACAAGGGAACCCAAAGTGCTAAAATGCTTACTCCTTTACGGGTGTTACAGTAGGACTCATTCCTACATTACTCTGCCTTGTTGTGAAATGTTCTTTATAAATAAAGTTGCCTTGCCTTGCTTTGCTGTGCGAAGCATGGGTAGCACCCAGAGGTGGGAGTAAGTCCTACATGTGCAAGTCATGAGCAAGTCTCAAGTCTTGACCTACAAGTATCAAGCAAGTCCCAAGTCACTGTGGTGAGAGTCAAGCAAGTCAAGTCAAGTCATACGAAATTCTGATGAATAAGCCCAGTTTCCGCATTTAAATCAGACATCATTTAGACAGTGGTTATGAAAATGGATTCAACCCACACTATGATCTTCATTACATACACAGTTAATCATTTGAAATCTAATTTAGACCGATGACAATCATATTAGATTAATATTAACCCTAGAACTGCAGACAATATAGCTAGGACTCAATCAAAAAGTCTGTTAAAAAAGGCAGAATTCCAGGTAAGAAAATCATATATGGCATTTGCCATTACACATATTTAATTTAAATTTCTGTTAACACTAGAACCACCAACAGCATCAGCACCTACATAGATATCATTTTCAAATCATTTAATTTGTTCCTCTTCATAATTTCCTTATAAACTAAGTAGGACGATTTAAAACTCACTTAATTGGGTTAATTTAGAAATTGCTTCAGTTTATCATCATAACAGATCAAAAAGTTCAGATTCATTTTACAATAAATCAAGGAATGATGCACTTCTACAAACAAAAACAACATAATTAAAACATTGAAACAAACTACTAAAAGTAGATGAACTACATTATTCAACAGTTTACAGTAACTTCTGATAATAACACAGGGGAAATAAACGAGGCATCTCTTTTCCTCTCTCTCTCTCCCTCTCCTGACGGCCCGTCAGTATCAGGGTTAGTCAAAATGAATCCCTTGGCGGTTCTAGTGTTCATTTACCGTTTTGTCTTCTCTTTGCAATGCTTAATCGATTTGAAACCAAGTCTAACGTAGCTTAAATTTAACGTTAGCTTTCTAGCTAACACAACACATTCACGCACCTTTCTCTGTGGGTTTTTTTGTAGTGACGAATGAAGTTGGATGTTGTGGTGGTCGTGTCACTGATCTTTATGCTGCAGACCCTGCATACCGCTGTTCTCTTCTTATTAGCGTCATCGACAACATAATCCTTGAATCCAAACTTCACTATTTTTGGAGTAACGGTACGTCTACACAGCAGCGTTAAAAAAAAACTTGAAACGCTTCTGCCCATTCACTTTGAATGGGGTGACGTCACTTTCCCTCACTTTTCGCCGAAATGCATTGTGGGCAGGCGAGCGGAGATTTTCAGGATTTTGAGGATTCAAAGTTGAACAATGTTCAACTTTTGAAGCTGAGGTGGAAGCGGCAGCCAATCAAATCCCGTGTACGCAAATCTGGCAGTTCAGGCGTAGGCTCCACGAGGACGAAAACGGGTTGAATCCGCATATTTCTCATGCGTATAGCCCTTTAAGCTCGACGACGCCGTAACAGAAACGTAGAAACAGACCCCGCAAACGACAACGGGTCCAAAGGTGGATAGATCTGGGAACGGAGCGCTCTGGGGGGTCCAACGGGGCCGTGGGGTCGCCTATACGGTCATGCGTTTCATAGCCCCGCCTCTCCCCGCCTCTCCCCACCTCTGCTGCTCACCCCCGCAAAAGTACACTGCACACTGAATTCAGATTATTTATCTTTATCTCGATATGAACATAAACGCGAGTGAAGTCTAATCTGACAGGACGGAGACACGCAGCTCCTCCGGCTGTGAAGCAGCGGTAGCAAAACACACACTTCAAGTCAGATCACCACCCTTAGCTATTTTAATTACCTCTCAAACTACCTAAACTAGTTATAAATATGTTTATTTTTACTGTCGGGTTTACTTACTGGATCAGCTGCTGCATGAGGAAGCATGAAGATTTAAACTTTAACACACATTGTCTGGCGAAAAACTCTGCGCGGTTCCCTCTGCCCCCACCGCGGAGAATAAACAGAAGTGCAGCCATGACAACCATTCTTCTTCGCTGCTTTTGTGGAGGAAGTTGCTGCTTTTGTGGAGGAAGTTACAGCGCCACGTACAGGTTCGGCATATGTACTGCAGCTTTTCCAGCGGTTGGATGTAAACGGAGCCGTCTCGTGGAGCTTGACACAATCCGGTGTATATTGCGTGTGGGCGGAATGTTTTTTGCGGTTGCATTTGCGTTACTCCGATGCGTTTTGCCGTATGCGTTCCCTTGGAGCCGGGGCCTCAAGCTCTAGCCAATCAAACGGCGTGTATGCTGGGAGAGACATACCGCAGGTCATTTCCTCATATTCCAAAAAATGGAGGAGAAATTAGCGGTAGCGAATCAATCACCCGGTGCTTTATGACCAGACCTATCGGGATATAAACCGGAGGAGCCAGGCATGGAGGGAGGTGGCAGAGACAGTGGTATGTTTTCGCCTGTTTTGGGGAGTTTATATCCAGTTTACTTCGGGCTTTTTTGCTTCGTATGTCGCGGGCGGGAGATTCATGTGATTGGTTGTTCGCAAAAAATCCCCAAGCTTCAGATACGCCCACCTCCAAGATTTTTTTAACGCTGCTGTGTAGACGTACCGTAACGCTAGCCGCTGCAATGTTAACTGACACTCCTGCCGGCGTCTAGTGGGTTGCCAGGTTTGCGCGCACGGCGCTATAATCACCGAATCACATTTTTCGAAAAAACTAAACGTAATATCTCACAACAAAAACAAACGCAAATATTTAATTTTAAACAGTCAAGTCCTTTCAAGTCATCTGTCTCAAGCTTAAGTCAAGTCTCAAGTCATGAATACCAAGTCAAAGTCAAGTCAAGTCTTTTATCAATGTTAGTCAAGCAAGTCTCAAGTCAAAAAATATGGGACTCGAGTCTGACTCGAGTCAAGTCATGTGACTCGAGTCCCCACCTCTGCTGGAAACGTACCTTAAGTGTACGTTTTATTGGCTTGTTTTAACAATTTGATCGCATTATTCTTTCTGATATTTTTGCAGATCTGCTGTGAGCTAGCTAGCTAGCGTAGCTAACCTATTCACTGCAGATATAATGACAAAACACTTCGATTTATTACAAAATAGACTTTCTCTGCCAACATTGACAGTTGGCCAACTTTATAATCCCCTAAATCATCAAGTGCTCCGGTCCCAGATGTGTATTTCACTTTTTAGTGTCCCCGTATCTGTTGTGCTATCAGTTTCTTTTTTATTTGCAGCTTTTTGTAATTGAAAATGTCTTCTTAATACTGCACGTGTTGTCAAGTTAGTGAAGAATCCTCATTTGGATGTATTTTGGTCATTTGTGTTTTTTTACATACATATTTTTTAAATTGCAGCAGGTTTCTCCTAATGGAAGTGATTTGGGCCGTTTTTTAGCGCGTTTGCACGAGTCGGCCACCGTATCTCACTCTTAACAACAGGGTTCTTTGGAATAACTTCCATATAATGTTTACTCATTCAACTTAGAGCTGTTTATTTATCCACATTTTCTACAGCTATCGTGAAGATATTGTTACCATGAAGTTGTTTGGCAATGATATTCAGTGAAAACCTGATACTGTGATAGCCCTGAGGTACAATAAGACACAATCATGCAGGATTAACAATAATTTACATGTTACTGATTAGCTACTCTTTCATCTGACTCATTAGTCTAATATTATGTGTATATCTACAGCCAAGTCAAATGTTGCGCAGAACTTATCTTTGCTGAAGGAGTAACATAAGGACATGCGGGGGAACCACAAAAAAAACAAGTTACACATCAATGCCTTATCTGGGTGGAAATGGGGGTAGAAGAAACAGAGAGGCTGAGAGTTACTGATTAGCTACTCTTTCGTCTGACTCATTAGTCTAATGTTATGTCAGGGGTTACATTGGGATTTGATATGTGGGGGGGCTCTGTGTGGAGGTTCGGGGGGGGGCTATACTGTGTGAGGCCCTAAGTAACTGCTCCATTATCTGTATCATATCGGAGCAGAGACACACGTTCACTAAGCCGAAAAACTGTATCCGGTCACACAGATCTGCTATTTTAAATTAAAGTCAACACATATCGACCTTAAATATAGTCTATATTAAGAACGAGAAAAGTTTGAACATATATATAGTTTTTTATAAACATATGACAAATGTGCGAGGGTGATGAAGTCAGAGAACCCTGGCCCAATTTAACCCCTGGTTATGTGTACAGCCAAGTCAAAGGTTGGGCAGAACTTATCTTTGCTGAAGGAATAACGTAAGGACATGCGGGGGAACCACAAAACAAACAAGTTACACGTCAATGCCTTATTTGGGTGGAAATGGGGGTATAAGAAACAGAGAGGCAACAAGATAGATGTATTGCCTTTGATTCAGACATTTTACACACAGGCTAACACAACATATTGTTAAGATGGAGAAAGCAATGATTCTGGTTTCTGTGCTGCTGCTGGGATGGACCTGGACCCTCCAGGCTGTCCCTGTTGATATGGATCAGGTGAGTGGCTTAACTTAACATCTGTCCATAGAGGATTTTCAATCATTCTTTCTTTTCTTTTTTAACTGTCCCTTGAGGTTTGGCTTTTTTGTTTTATGTTGATACATAGCATCAGTGAAATAACATATTTGTGATGCTGCTAACCAAATTGGAGAACGAGTTTGAGGCTATCTTAAAGCAGGTTCCACTGAATGTTATGTTTTTCATCTATACGAGTTTTGAAATGTCTTGTCTGGCTAAGTCTGTCTGTGGCTGTGATGCAGGTGGATGTTCCTGTGCAGCCTCTTGCTACTGTGGAGGTTCCTGTGGAGCATAATGCTACTGTGGAGGTTCCTGTGGAGCATAATGCTACTGTGGAGGTTCCTGTGGAGCATAATGCTACTGTGGAGGTTCCTGTGCAGCCTCTTGCTACTGTGGAGGTTCCTGTGGAGCATAATGCTACTGTGGATGTTCCTGTGCAGCCTCTTGCTTCTGTGGAGGTTCCTGTGGAGCATAATGCTACTCTGGAGGTTCCTGTGGAGCATAATGCTACTGTGGAGGTTCCTGTGCAGCCTCTTGCTACTGTGGAGGTTCCTGTGGAGCATAATGCTACTGTGGATGTTCCTGTGCAGCCTCTTGCTTCTGTGGAGGTTCCTGTGGAGCATAATGCTACTATGGAGGGCCTTAACGCAACTCTGCCAACTCTGCCTCCGTTCAATGCTACAGGTAAGAGATCAACTCAATTGTTTATCTGTATACCATTGTATGTGTTGCAGTGAAATGAAAATGTGTACTAAATGGAAGCGAGATCATGATACTGATGTTAGAGTTCTAACTAACGTTGTCTTCCCCTTCCTGTTCTCTCTCTCCCTGCAGAGGACTGTAAAAAAGCACCAGAAACAGGTCCTTGTAAGGCATATATGCCAAGGTACTTCTCCAACTCCTCCTCAATGAACTGCGAGATCTTCATCTATGGAGGGTGTGGAGGAAACCTGAACAACTTTAGAAATGACACAGAGTGTATGGATAGCTGTCACCCTGAAGGTGAGGAGTGAGATACAAAACATATCTGAATACATTGTACATCATTTTTTAAATTGTTGTTTTCTCTTGAGGTTTTTGAAGAGGTGCCCAGAAATGTTGCACATTATCACATATTTAATTATTATCATAAAATAAAGATGTACTGTGAAGCTTAAAGATGCATAGCAGGGCTGCCATAATGTTTAATATGGTCCCCCAGATATTTGTAGATAACAAAATATGCTTAATATATTTTTTCCTTTTCACAGCAGAGCTCCCAACGGCAATATGTCTGGACTGTTAAAGTCCTTTTGAGTCGGACCAACTGGAAGCAAGTGAGATGAAGAACGCTTCTGCACTCAGAACATGTAAACTTGTATTAAAACAAATCACAATTAAAAAAATGTGCTTACTAATATGTTTTGTGTATGTTTTTTTGTTTATAACTCAAATTAATATGGCTGAATATCCTGTAAAAACTTAAGGGTGGAGGTAATGAAATCTCCTAAAACTTAAATTGGTAAAGCCCCAATGGAAGAATATCTTCTTACAATAATTACATCTCCTTAATTCAATATACTGTAAGGTGTTGTTTGTTTTATACAATGTTAAATAACATACTTGATCTATGAAAATCAAAAGTACTCATTGTAAACAATTATACACAACCTAATATATATATGCCCATGCTATAGCACTTTTAATATTTTGTATTATTTTACTTTAACTGCAAGATGCTCACTGTGAATAGGAGACATGAACACTGACATCTAAAACTGTCCTATTATAACTTTTCAAACATATTTTCTGTTTGATTGTTATTTTTTGATTGCATTTTCGCAATGAAATCATAATATTGGATGAAAAGGACTCAGATATTGGTTAGGTAAAAAGGAATTGAGTGATCCAACAAAGTTTTACAATCATACCTTAGCTTTACAACCTGAACACTAACATATGAGTGATGACTGTTACTTTAATATTATAACAGGTATTAGTTAAATACAAATGTACTGCTGCAATTCTCAATATACAGATGGTTCTGTTTTCCACAACCTGATCTCACCAGAATGCGTGACTCCACCACGACTCCTTAACACCGCAGTGCGTGGTGCAGTCACGAACCCCAATGTAAAGTGAATGAGGCTCCTTTGTCGTGGTGCACACACGCATTTCTACAACGTCCCGCAGTGAGCTTTTATTCTATAAAACGTTATCAAATCTACTTTATAGCTTGTAGTAACTCACGGGAGGCTTCTTTTATTTTATTTGTATTCATAATCATTTTTATTTTTCGTCAGAATGTATTATGGTGCATTAGTTACGAATTTTTGTTCTCAAAAAACAGTGCATTGTGTGTAATACAACTGTGATTTTTATTAAATTAGTTAGTTTTTAAGGAAGGCCAGAGCTTCAGCTGTGTCAAATAGATTGTTCCCTTTAGTTAACGTTATTTAAAAGATAATTATATTCCTATTTGATCATGTCCCCTTTATTGTATTACGGACACAGAGAGCAATGTGAGCGTCCATTCCCATTCATTTTACATCCGGAAGTAAGTATTCTCCTTACTGTCGATTGATTTTACAGTGATATCTGCACTACTCATCGACTCAAAAACACCAGATTATCCTTGTTAATTACACAACATTGATTGGTTTAAATTGTGTGCAATGCTTTTGTAATTTTCCTCTTCGATTCGGAGAAACAAATATGTGTTCAGAGTTTAGGATGGCAGAAGACACTACACTACCCAGAATCCTCAGCTATTGTTCCGCTTTGCCTCAAGCTCTGTGATTGGTTGACCTCCAACTGCATTCTATATGGGAAAAAAACGTTCCATAAAAGATAAAATCATACTTTATTCAGCAGTGCTTGCTTTACTCTTTGAAAGTTATCACATGAATGCATTGTAATGAATGGTTTGGCTGCATTAAACATTACACATCTGTCGTAGTTCTTTATTTATCTACAGAGATCGGGCCTCAGAATAGACCGGAAACTATTCTTTTACCGTTCGGTTTTAATTTCACAATAAAGTTAGTAGTAATAATTTGTTTTGATATTATTGTTTTTTATTAACTACTAGACCGCTGGGTCATGTTAAGACCATCTTTTCTGTGTTGCTGTGGGTTTTTTACATCGCTTTTGTGTTACAAATATCAAAACAATAACAGAATATATCCGTCGTAAACTAAACCAGAAACAGCAGTATATTTTATTTTGTTAACACTGTAAACTTGACAGTTTTTTAACCCGCACCTCCTACTGGTTAAAGCACGTTATTACACGTTTAGAGTAATTGCAATGCAGGTAGATTGTGTTGCTTTTTAATGACTGTTTTAAAATGCCTTTTTCTTAATGTCTTTCATTTTTGTAAAGCACTTTTGAATGTGTTATATTTGATGAAAACATTTAAATATTAAGAGTACATACTCTTAATATAGTGGGAAAGTGGAAGGTCAATGATATAAATAATATAGAATAGAAAATATCAAGAAGATACTGTAAGTGATCTCTACAATAAAACAGTTTAGTGCCTGATAGGAGGATGTGCAAAACAGACAAACTAATAAGGCTTTATTAAACATGAAAGAATACTTTAGGTTAAGGTCTTCTTTTAAATAAGAAAAAAGCTTTGGGGGTATCTACAGATATTAAGCCTGACAAAGTACTTAACGTCTAATATATTGCATGGTTTGTTTTGGAACTTGACAATCAACTTTCCTGCAATGTTAACAATGTTGAAGCACTTATTTTAACTGATATTATACATATTAATTATACTTTTATAAGATGTATGTAGATAGTATAAGAAATGTGCAGAATATGTTTAATGGTGGAGGTACACACATATCGATAGATGTCTTGTAATGCACTGTTGAGGAACCTGTGACCCAAGTTTTTCATTCATTGCATAACTACACCGTAGTTGTGTATAGGATATGTCAATGAACCTTAGAAAATCTTGAAATCTTGAAAGGGATGTGCAAAATAGCCATTATATACAGTTTTTAATTAACTATTAGTAGAGAATAATGAGTAATGAATATACTTTATAGGGATCTGCAGATAAATATTTAGCCTTCTCAAGCACCCACTACCAAATATCTCGCCTGATTGTTGGCACTTGACAATCACCTTCACTGAATTTTACTCAGGTGTAACTAAAGTCTGATTTAAGGGTTGTTTATATTTCACATCATTAATCCAAATCTGTAAAGTAACTAAAATAAATGTAGTGAAGTAAAAATACCAGGTTAACCTTAAAGAAAGCCTTCAGGATTATAAAAGACCCCCATCACCCCAGCCACAAACTGTTCTGTCTGCTGCCGTCTGGCAGGCGGTACCGCAGCATCCGGACTAAAACCACCAGACTCAGGGACAGCTTCATCCCACAGGCCATAAGACTATTAAACACCTGAACTTTGAAACACCATCCATAACATTCATCTGGCTGCTACTTAGAAATTATTTATCTAATATATCATATTCAATCACTTGTATATGGACTCTTATTGCGCTATTTCACTTTTTACTATTTTACTATTTTTATTTTTGTATTTACTGCACTATTTTGTCTGTGTATCTGTTTTATTGTGTTGCACTGTTGGAGGAGCCTGTGACCTAAGGGGGGGGGGGGGGGGGGGGGGGGGCGGGGGGTAGGACCATAGACTGTAGCCTCGACTCAATACCCCTCCTCGACTCCTCCGTGTGCATTTCAGCTATTGGGACGTCCTTCAAAATGGCGTGTCTTGATCGATTTCCGGGTCAAGTCCCGGAGGAGGGGAAGAGAGGAGTCGAGGAGGGGTATTCAAGCCCCCAGGAAGTGCGCCGGACTCTGATGAAAATATTCGTGCTGGCCAAACGGCGGTACTACACTTCCTTTTGGTTGCCAGGCCCGGAAACACTTTTTCCCATTGACTTACATGGGGAAAGAGTGGTCTGTAACTCGTTGGATAATTTTTTTTAAACTAAATAAACTACCCAGTATGAACACTTGTATAGCCCTTATTAAAAACATTCGTTCCTCAAGTTGTAAAAATGTGCTAATAACGTTATTCTGAGAGTTATTTCCCTCTGTATTATGAACGCGCATCTAACCCACGGGACCGCGCCGCCCGGCACGTTCATGTGATGTGACGTGTTCAGCACCACATGAGTTTATCTTTACCCATGGATAAGAACGGACCCATATCGCCTTACTGCCAGCCCACGGAGCTGTAATAATGGATATATTGCACATGTTTGCTGTAATTCATCATTTGTAAAATATTATACTACATGGGCTGTATGATGTAAATCTTGTATTAAATAAAGTTAATATTACCGACGTAGATTAACGTCCCTGTAGCTTCTTATTGCACTTGCAATATACCATTAAAGGAGTTGAACGTTGCTGTTTGCTATTACTATAATACCACGCAGGGATAAACCAGAGTTTACAACCTTTGCATGTGGGCACAACACGTTTTGACCCAGATTAATTAGCTATACCATGATATCGCCCGAGGAAGTCGTCATACTTATACATATATAAATAAAGATATATGTGTCAAAGCTCTAATCAAATTAACAGTTGTATTAATTATACTTGTATATGTATATATATATATATATATATATATATATATATATATATATATAGCCTGTGTTTTATATTTATACACACAAATGAACAACCTTGTGTGTGTCAAATAACAAGTTGTATTGTAGTGTTTATTTTAGTGTTGTGTTATGCTTATCCACATTTTGATTTCAGAGCACAGGAGAATGCTGGGCACAACATAAAGCTCAAAAGTGAAGCTGGCAATGCTGAACAAAACCATCTAGTTATAATATTTATTCAGCTGAAAAAGTCAAAGCTCTACGAAAATGTAATTAAAAATACATAAGCATTTTCAGGTAGAAAATCAGCATTTTATATAGAAATTCACAAAAATAAGAAATGTATACCTCTTATGGCTGGCATTGTAGAACTAGGTGGAAAAAATAGTGACAACAAATGTAAATACAATTTATATAGATCAAAAGGTAATATATATAATATTGATTGCAATTATTAGATTAAAAGATCCACCAATTATGATCAACAGGAAAGCCCTCTGAAGGCATGTTGTGGTTTGAAAAAAAGTTGAGGATGGGGTCCAGACAGTTAAATCAGGAGAGACTTCATTTTGTTTAAAGAACATTTATTGACACATGTCATATGATAAATGTTAAGTCTTTGGCGATTAGACCCCGATCCTGAAATCTTATATCTAAAGGGGGAAATGCAGCCGTGAGCATATAGGGAACCTCCCCGGGGTCTAGACACTGGTGATGATGATGAAGATCTGGATTTGATGAGGAGATGGGATGAAGAGGAGGTGTGATGAGGTCTTTGGATTAGCTCTCCTGGCTCTGGATATGATGAAC